CTGGTATCACTGGATCATGTTCAACAATTTTGTTGAATTAACATTAACTAAAAAGGTTTAGTTAATGTGCAATTAATTGTTACAGTTTTGAATTTTACTGTTACTATCTTCCTTCTTTCGTGCAAACCGCCCAGTCACATGACCCCCCCAGCCATGCCCACCAAGCCATGCCCACAGAAGCAGTAATTCATTTCACTTGATTAAATCATAGTCTCTTAGCTTTCTACAAGCAATTTTAGCACATTGTCTTTTAACCTGGTTTAATAAAATAAATTAATATACTTGAATTTGCTGTTAATATATTTCCTCAAACAAGTAAGCTTACTTTTCTTTCCTTGGGAGGAAAGAAGATCCTGTCTAAAAAATGTGTCTGACCTATTTGTGATGGGAGGAGCTCTTGTTCTAGAATCAGCAACTCTCTTGCATTGGTTGGAAAAAGAAGGATATGGACCTCTCGGGATGACTGGCATATCAATGGGAGGACACGTAAGCTTCAGTGTTTAATTGATAATTTAATTGAAATAGATGGTAGCACCCAGCTGAACTTGTCTGATCATTTAAAAAAATAAAATCTAACTAGTACTAGAATGGAGATTACTTGGAAATTCCAGACTATAGACTAGATTGGAAAATTGCCAAAAAGAAGACTATTTAAAATCACTTTTGTATTGTAACAAAAAAAGTGAAAGGGTAACATATATGTTTATATATTATCACCAGAAGCTGATCTTCACTCAGGGGGGAACTTAATTCCTAATTGTACTTAGGTTCTTTTGTGTCATATTACACTAAATCGGAAATATCCATCTTTCATATTGAAAAATGTGTGAGGACTGGAGTGTTTTGTAGACTAATTCTAAACAAAGCAGTTAAGAGGTAAAGAACATACCTTTTTAAAAAACTATTTTTATGGGTCATTTGCAGTTCTACTGCCAGAGCCTGTAAGAACTATTGTTTTAGGTAATAGCAAGAAAAAAAATGAGTTTGACATGGGAAGGATAGATTCATAATTAGTATATTTTAATATAATTTTTCAAATTAAAGTGAATGTAATTTATACAGCATTGGTCTTTATCAAGGAAACATTAAATTTTCAAATTGGCCAGTGATAACTGTCTTATTTAGCCTTAAGTTTACTATATTAATATTAATTATTATTATTATTAATTATAAGATTAGCCTTATTCAGCTTGTCTAACTATCCCTAAAATAAATGCATCATACAATGTTCTAAATTTAAATGAAATTACATTCATGTGTGACTTTATATAAACTTTCATATGCAACTCATTTAGTAAGGATATTTAGAAAGCAAATGTAAATCTTTGTACATTTAAGGAATACAAACTTCTTCAATAGTTTTATAATATTTACTTTATTTCATGTACTTTCAAATAGCATCTTCTATATCTATTAATATCAATTCTGTTCACATCCTATTGCTTGGCTTTATATGAGATATGGTTAGCTGAAATTGAAAAATGAATTATGTGGCAATTTTATCAATTTATGAAAAATATTTCATATTTTGATTTGTACTCATGGAAAAAATTACCCCGTTTTTTTTTTTTTTTTTACAGATGGCATCATTAGCAGTATCTAATTGGCCTAAACCATTACCATTAGTTCCTTGTCTGTCCTGGTCTACAGCCTCTGGTGTTTTTACTACGGTATTACCTTCTTATTTGGTATATAATTATGTAAATCCTTTGAAAATATTTCAGCTTGAAATATTAAAGTAGCCATATCTTTTTTTTAGAATAATAGATACTTCATAACTGCTACAACCTGACTCCATTGCGTGTCCACCCAGCCAATTTGTTTAACTAGGTTGCTTTACTGTTGCAAAAAGATGCATGATATACATTACTATGTGTTGCTAAGTCCTTTTTTCAAAGGTTTTGCACATCCTAATGTATAAGGTCCATGTGTTTACACTTTGAATATTATCAGTGCTTTGTTATGACAAAAAACTAATCTACAATATTCTTTTAATTGTAACATAGAAATAAGTTCCCTTTTCTTATTATTATGACACCATTTCACAAAAGCTTTGATCTTTTTTAAAATGTTTAAAATCCCTGCCCAAATCCTTCATTTCAAATTGATTTGTTGCTTAGAAATCACATGAACTATTGACCCTTTTCTTTGTCATTGAAAAACATTTTCAGAGTGATGGAATTTAACAAATAAAACCCTGGTGTAATTAAAACTGGTTCTTAAATAGTGCGTATAATATATAATCTTTTAATTTCAGGGTGTATTGAGCAAGGCAGTGAATTGGCGGGAACTAGAGAAACAATATTATACTCAGAGTGTTTATGAAGAAGAAATAATTCAAATGCTTGAATATTGTGGAGTGAGTATAAATTATTTTTTAATGGTAACTGCTATACAATTTCTGGGAGCGGTTTAATTTTGTAACTGTAACTCCACTCCAATTTCTGGGACCTGTTTTAATGCAATAGTAGATAAAAAATTTAACACAATGTTATTATAACACAATTTTTGTATTAATCTTCTGAGAAATTCTTTTTCAGTTATGTGTAACAACCATCCAAATAGGTTTTCTTAATCCTTGAAAATCTCTTGAGATGTTTTAGCTACAATTTTTTTTTAATTTAGAAAAGAGGAAGTATATATTTTTATAGAATAACTATTTAGAAAACAGAATTTGAATTATCATACCAAAGATAATTTCTGTGTGCATTATTGAAATTGTTAAACCTTTGAAATCTCTTTAGTAAAATAAATAGTAAAGCGAGTAATTTGCACATTAAAATGGTGTTGGAGAAAACCACTTGAAAATTCTCAGTTCTTTTCTGATAGAAGGGGTGGGATTGGGGGAAATCTTTTGGCTAATAGTCTGATTGCTGCCTTCTGGGCCAGCTAATTTTCAAAACATCTGCAAAGGCAATCCCACACTCAGAACATGAAAGTTAATCCAATTACAAAGTTATCAATATATGAATCCCTTTCAGTAGGCAGATGTGTATTTGAAAATTTATCACCACATTCTCAATACGTTTAGAAAAAGCTAAATGATTGATATGAGTTACCAACATTTCTCATAATATATGGCTGGGAGAATGCTTCAGGGTTGTGTCTCGAATCCATTAATCTGTAGCAAACTTCTGATGGCTTCTTTTTCCTCAGTTTATTTTAAGAGGTAATCAAATAGATTGGCAGTATGGGGACATTTCCATATATATTAGAATGATAGCAATTTATCATAATTTATCAGTAATTTTATGGTATTGTTTTGTATTTGTATATTTTGATAGGTCATTCACAATAGAAAGTAAATTGTTTTTAATAAAAGTAAGAAGACTAGAATGAATAGGAGAACATTAATGCTTATATTTCTTTATTTAAAATATGCTTTGAGTTTTATTTCAAAATAAAAATGTAAGCTACAAATTTAATAAATAAATATCCATATACACTTTTGGACATGTGTTCAGTTGAAATAGACGAAGACTCATATCAAATTATCTAATTCAAGAGATCAATTTGTTTTTACATATTTTAAAACATCAAGATATAGGTTTGATTGAAAAGAGGACATTGAAAAATATGCCAAAGTGCTTCAATTTAATAAATATTTCTATTCAGACAGATTCATTCAAGATGGGACAAGACTTTGTTAAAGATTCTCCAAACAGTGTGGACAGCTTGAGTTGTCTGGATCTCAACTCTGGTATTCTGCACCTAGATATCGGAAACAAAGTTCCTTCTTCAGAAGTGGGTCACTGCCTTAGTCCTAATAAAAACAATCTAAGCTCCTCAACGGAAGAATTGTTGGTGCAAGATGCACCCAAAATGCAGTGCATAAACCAGACATTTTCAACCAGCACCAATAGTGCTAACTTTTCCAGTGAACAAAATCACCTGATAAGTGGAAAAAATGACAGTTTACAAAGGGAATCATTACGATTTATGAAAGGAGTAATGGATGAATGTACCCATGTTGCTAACTTTTCAGGTACATGTTAATTTTAGAGTATTTCAGATTTTTATGCTATTAATTTATAATCCTATTTAATAATTCTCTATCTCTGAGCACTGTTTATAATTTTTATTACACTTTTTTTCTGTTGTCTTTTCCATATGTATACACCTTCTACATTTGAATTTGCTCTTATGCCCTTCATATTTATTTCTAGCAAAAGTAGACATCTTTCTACACACCAGTGTACGTGACATCAGACATACACACACACACACACACACACATCTATACAGTTGCAAGAAAAAGTATGTGAACCCCTTGGGATTA